AGTTTGGTTGTACCTCATTGAGTTCGTTCGTTTCGCCACTCGCTAACTGTTGGCGAATCGATGACGGCTTATATATACAAATATTGTTAAAAAAAATTTTAAGTATTTTCTGTTACATAAGTATGTACATACATTCAAAATGTTGCTTTGAATAAAAGTCGACTGAAAAGTACTGACTTTTATAGCATGAAAAAGTCGAATGGCCTTTTCGTTTCTACAAAAAATGTGGCCTTCTCATTGCCCTCTTCTTAGCAGGTATTTGTGCGTAGAGGGCAAAGAGAAGGTAACATTTTTCGCTAGAAACGAAAACGCCATAAGGTACTGATTTAGCGCAAAAAAAAATCTGGCAACCCTAATGTATGCGCATATGTATTTAAACCAATTTGGGTTACAATCGATAGCAATTTGTTGGGTACCCAAGCGCGGCACTGAATGACAGGAATGTTAACTCAAACTGAGCAGCCGTGTGGCCAAGCAGCCAAGTCGCGGCGTTGTAATTAAGCCACAGTAATTGTTGTTAAAAATCATTTAAATATACACACATACACGCACACCTCCTTAGCTTCGTAGTTAAACATGCTATAAAAAATTTTGTACATTAAAAGCCAACTATTGATGCTATAGCATAGATGCGGTTAGGACATACGCAATAGTAGCTGAGCAAATATTATTTCCTACATGAGTGTACATGTGTATGTACATTAGACTGCATCACTCGCCATACAAAAAACAAATATAAAAAATCGGTACTGTTTTTCCGCTGTAATTATAAAATCTATTACATTTTAAGACCTACACCAAAATATTTCGGAAAAATATTAAAATTTACGTGAGGTGGACCGATTTGAAAATACCTCCAAAAATTTAGTTTTTTATGAATAAATCAGATGCCAAATCAGTTTAAGTTTAAAAAATTGCATAAAAATATAAAAAAAAAAAACATTTCAACGGAATCATAATGAGACTTTTGATGCCGTTTTTTTATATTTATCAAAGATTGGATTAAGAAAAAATTTTATAAGTCAGCCAAAACCTTACCGATTTGGACATGTAATGTATCATTGGAAAGGTGTTTTCACACCCTTTTTGCACATAGCTAAGTATGAAAAAGAAATGTAAGATAAACGAGTGTAATTCCAAGTTGAATTAAGATGTGTTGATATTTGAAAAGGGAAAAATAGGTACGTGAATGAGTTTTTTGCAAAGAAAAAGAAAGGGTGATGGTTATGGTTCCGTTGAAACATTTTTTGCATTTATTCAGATTTATTTATTTATTACATTTATGCAGATTTTTTAAGCTTAAGCCGTTTTGTCACCTGAGGGGTTTTTTTCAAAAAGTTCTTTAAGAAACTATTTTTATTCATAAGAAACTTAATTTTTGGAGGTATTCTAAAATCGTTCCAGCTCACGTAAATAATAATATTTTGCGAAATATATTCGTGGAAGTCTTCAAATACAATAAATTTTGTAATCCCGGCGAAAAAACCGAAATTATTTTGGTGATGCAGTCTAATGTACATAAATATGTATGCAAGCATTTGTAGTTGTGTGTGCGCTTTAAATGGCTAGCTGAGAAATATGACCACTTAAGTGGTCATATAAACCGCATTAATGACATATTACTGCCAAGTGCTTGGCTCGTTGTGCTTGCCATTCGCAATTTTCGCCTGCTTGCGGCGTAGTTGTTGCTGCTGTTGTTGTTGTTGTTGTTGCTTTTACAATACCTGTTAAGGTGTCATGTAAACTTTGTACCGGCGCGACCACGTTTTAGCACTGACATTCGAAATGGTCGAATGTCAAAAGTGTTTAAGAAAAGAGTTCAACACCTTTTCCACCACTCAGCTGTTTCTCATCAGAAAATCTGGTCGTTTTTTTTTCTTTATTTGAAATTTTGAGAAAATAGGTAGTTTAACGTGCATTAATTCATCATTACATTTCCATATGTATGTTTGTACGTACGTATGTATGTATGTATGTATGTATTTATGTTCGCATAAATGGACTAAAAAACTGGTTCAACACCGATTCGGTTGTCCTCTGGCCTTCGTATCGTTGGTGAAATATCGTGAGAACGTTTCCAACAAATTGAAATGACAACATTTTTCGGCATAAAACACCCTTTTATCAAAGCGTAAAAACAACTTATCAAAAGCTCAAAGCAAGAAATGTAGTTTTCTCTTAAAAAAAACTAGAAAAAAAAAATACGTAACAAATGGAAAGCAAGAGGGGAAAAACTGGACAGAGGGCAAGTTTTTGGCGACCCAATGTGAGAAACGGTCAACAAGTTTAAGGTTCAGCGCCAAAGTTGCTTCGGTGGTAGGTTAATATAATTAAATTGTTGTGTCAATTGTTGCAACGAAAGACGGGCGCACATATTTACACACATACACACACTTGCAGAATTTGCAGGTATGCGCAAAGAATCACAAGTACGGAGGAAAATGTACAACTACAAGATACAAAAAGGTACGCGTTGCAAGCAAAACTAGTTCGACACAACAAAAACAAAAAACAAAAAACAAAAAACAAAAAAAAAACACAAGTAATACACATAAAAACAACTTGTTGTGCCATCGTTTACATTTTACGTGGATTTTTGTCAAGAAATTTATTTAGCGGAAAATCCGTTCACATATTTTAAGTATTTTTGGCGACAACTCTTAGTAAATATTAGAAAGCTTCGAAGCATGTGTGTTTGTATGTATGTATGTAGCTTTGAAACGTTACGCCTTCTAAGCCTGAAAACATTTGTACAACCGCAACATATCAGATGCTGTAATTGGTGTTTGAAAGAAAACAAAAACAAAAAAAAAACACTTTGCGCACTTCAGCAACTCCAAATTAATTTATGTAATCAAACACTTCAACACGCTCTTTAATAACCAAAATGCCACTCGAAGTTCTCCCGTCGTCGTCATCGTTTGTATATCGCAGAAGTGCCCGAGTAGCTGCTACTTGACATCGCAATTTATGCTGCGGAGGAGGCCAGCAGCCAGCAACAAAGCAGGGAAGATGAAGCAATGACAAGGACTTGAACACGTGCCGAACGCGGCAAGAATTCGATAAGTATGAGTGTAGTTGGGCTAAAATTAAGCGGACGAGATAGTACGAATTAAAAAAAAAGAAAAGTGAACAATCACAAAAGCGGCCATAAAATAGCTGACTGAAAGCGTAGAGCGATCGGTGCGCTTGACGCTTATGCGGGTTTAAGAAATGCATAGCTTGTCGGTATGTATGAAATGTAGTATGGCTGCTGCTTAGCAACAACTTACCGACTGATATATTTTATGCAAAAATTTTCGTCACTGCAGTCTGTTCTTTACGCCAGGAAATTGGTCGCCGCCGCTTCTTTTAACTTCTTTATTTGCCAAACACATAAAATTTCCTTTTTGTTGTTTGCCTTTCCATTGATTCTTTCCGCTGCTTTTTCACATTTTGATCCCGGTAATCGTCGCTGTTGATCGCAATGAACTTATGGCAATAGTCAGTTAGTGAGCGACGGAGCAGCTGAGCCACTGAGCCACTCAGCTACTCAGCGCAGCGGGAAGAAGCCAGCGAGATCAGGAATCGAAACTTTTTTCACAGAACAGCTTGAGTTGTGCTGTGCGCAGCAGACGCTTTGGCGCGAGTTGTTTGTTTTTTTCTGCGCCTCGCTTTCGGATTCAAAAAAGAAAACAGCAGAGGACCAAGACCCAAAACACTTCACATAAGACCCCTTTCAGACACGTCAACTCTTGCTTTCGCGTCTGCTCGGTTTGTAGGCGAAATAGCAGACTTGAAAGCTAGACTTGACGTGTCTGAAAGGGGTCTAAGTAGATATTTGCATAAAAGCATAAACCGCACAGCATCAGCTTAAGCATGTATGTACATGCATTTATACATATATGTATACATACATACATACTCACTAGGCAACGTCGCAGCGACTTACAGCGTGAGGATCAAAAGATTGTGGTTCCGGTCACAAAGCGCGGCGACAATGGCGCACAAAGGCCAGAAAGGTGCCAAAAAGGCAACCGAATGCTACTTTCCCAGGCTCATTAATAACTTAATGTCCGGCCAGCTAATAGTGGACAGTTGCAGTGGTCAGCCGACCGATACGTATGCATATACATATGTATGTGTGTTTGTGTGCACGGTGAAACTAGTTTGCATGTCCAGTTGTCCGGTCGGCAGAAATCTACCTGAGACTGTCACTTGGCTCTGCCGCGGCGTAGAGGACAGACAACAGCTGTGGCGCACTCGCTCCCTTCTTCGCATACCAGAAAAACGCTGAAGAGCAAAAGCAAAAGGAACGTGAAGGAACGAAGAGTTTAAATCAAAACACAATTACGCAAATGCATTGTCCAAATAATTGCCGATCGAAATTTTTCACATTTTCGTCAGCGCGCAAACTATCGTCGCGAAGGAAGTGAGAGGCTTGGGTGAAGCGGGGTCGTAAAGGGCTATGCAGAGGGAATAAACGGCGAACTGACCAAAACAAAATCTGAATAAAGAACAAATAATTCACTTTGCTGCTTTCTTTCCTTGGAAACTATACGCAAATGTGTGTCTTCAAGCGATTTCGGTGCACAAAAACTGGTCAAACCCGCTTCGTCCACCCTTTGATGAACAGACATTTGCATAGACAATTTTTAATTGCCATAAATAAAAGGAACGGCTCATGAAGGGGCCGAAAGTGACCAGCGCGGCACTGACCACTGCTAAGCTAGAGCCGCATGTGCCGCCGCTGGATTCATCAAAAGTTTCAAGAAAAATTACTTAAATATCGGAAAGAGAGCAAAAAAATATGCAGATCAAGAAAATAATGCCGCGGCAGGAAATGAGTGACTGTTTCAACGAGTGGAAAGCGTCGCAGTTCGAACAAAAAATAAACTCAAAATTTGCGCTCACTCGTGAGTACGCGCGTACGATCGCGTGCAATATGGAAAAGTAAACATTGGCAAATCAATTACATAAATAAAATGTAAAATGCAAATAGTAAAACAGTTTTCACTTACCTTGCATATGTATGTAAGAACGAGTGCCTTTATTGCTTTAATCTTCTTTGGATTTCCTAATCTTCCCACAGACACCTCGGGCACCATTGTTCTCCGCTTTATTTATTTCCTCGCATTTCTGCCCATTTTTCGCCGATTTCTACAAATGATAATAGTCCGCATATTACTTCACTTGAATTGTGGGTGCGTATAAAGTTTATAAATGCATTCATTCTGCATACGTGTGTGAACACTTACTTATGTACGTATGAATGTATGTATATGTGTGTGCACATTAGAGTAGAACTTATTTGGAAATTTGTTAAAATTCTTGGTATTACCCTCTAGAAATATACGAAAAGACGATTAGACGAATATAAAAACTTCAGAAGTGGCTTACATCCCGCGAAATCTGGAAAAATTGTAATTTCTTATTCACAGGTAATAATGCCAATTGACTTTATTTCCCAACAGTATGCGAAATAGTGCCAATTGACCTTATTTCCGTTGACTTTGTTACCTGTCACATAGTAGAACCAGAAATTTTAATTAAAAAATTTGTTTATTGTATCCTAGCGGAAGAAAATGAGCAGTTTTTGTGGCATATTCTAGACTGACTCTTTTGCAGATATGAGGTTAACGCAAAAACGGGGCGATATGTAACCGCGTCTGAGAAAAGGATGATACAGATCAAAAATCGAAATTCGTATAATGATAAACTCATAGTTTGAGGTTTTAAAGAAATTGCAATTGTTTAAACAAATCAAACTTTTTTCTATGGATTTCTTTTTTATTGAAAATATACTATATAGACCAATTTAAGCCAAAAATCACTCTGGTTATTTTTGTTTAGACTCAAAAATATAGATATTATATAGAAACTTTAAACGCTTTTTTCTCGGAAAGGTGATTTTAATCGATATCGCCCTTTTTTCAGACGTATCTAATCAAATATATGTACGTGCATTTCAATGTTTTAGCTTTCCAAAGAGCATAAAATCATAAAAATCGCTCCCGCCTAATAAATTATAAAAAAAAAATTGCCACACATTCATACACATATACAAAGTTGCTATAAGCGTTACTTTGCGCTATTTCCCGGGGCAAAATAGGCGAGGAAACATAAAATGTTGTTACACAAGTAATTTTTAGTACAAAAAAAAACGACTTCAACTTTCATATAAAAATATATACATATATATATATCTCATGATCCACTGATCGGATCTTAACCAGATTAGTATGGGACCACCTCTGAGACACTACCTTTCCGATGCAAATTATCGAAATCGGTTGACGTGGTCTAAAGTTGTGCGGCAACATACATAAAAAAAAATCCGACGAACTGATAACCTCCTCCTTTTATAGGACTCCTATTCCCGCGTACGTAGTAGTATGTATGTATGAATGGATTTAAAAAGGCCGATAAAGGTGATCTCGGGAACTCCAGCCCTCGAACATAAGAATGGTGGAGTTGTGCCTGTTTCACTCATCCTCAAAGTACCTTGATGAGTCCTAGCACTTTTTATTAGCTGCTTTAACAGCTCTTAGGCACCTTTAGCTAATATTCTTTTTTTTTACCCTGAGGACCGTTTTCTGAAGTACGTTTTAAAATTTATCCGCCCTTTAAAGGCAAATGTTTTCTTCAAATTTTAGGTATTTGAAAAGCATATACATTTTAAAACCTGCTTGAGAAAACTGCACTAAATTCAACTTTAGCTACGGTGCTCAAACCGGAAATTATTACTTTGTGAGATAAATGATCGATCGGCCATCGTAGCCTGGTTCTAAATTCATCCCGAGAACTCACTCTGCTAGACTATTAACAATAGTCGGTTCTGGATATCCAAATATTGAGCCTTTAATAGTGATGCCAGATGGAGATAGACATTTTAGTTATGTACTTATATGCGAAATATTTAGACATCATTTAGGATGACAACGCTTTTGAAGAATTTCAAAAGTACTGAAGCACAAGTGTTGTCACGTCTTCAAGATTATTAAACACTGAAGCTCCAAAATATTTCAATCGTGTTTTTGATACAGTTGCACAAAGGCATTTAATGTGTTCCCATGCCTTTCCTGCGAATTTAATTTGCTGGCGTGCGCTGCCAACACCACCTATCTCTTCGTGGCAGCGATACTATACACCGCATTTGTATTCTTGTTTTCTAGTCTACACATGACTTTGGAGATTTTACAGGTTTTAAACGAATTCCATAGCGATAAGCCTGCTTTTTCAGTCTCTGGCATATTTCGTGTTATAGATTTTTTAGAGGTTTTTTAAGTGAATTCTGCTCCTGACAATCTCAACTACAGTTTCGCTACCGGGAAGTCAATAAATATGCAGTGGCCTGTTTGCTGCTGCCTTATTTATGACCTCGCTGTTTCTGTGGGCATTTTGTGCCGTAAATTGGTATGAGCTAACAGCCTTAATCGCTTCTATCTCTGTACGTACGTATATGTTAACTTTAGAGTTATGTATTCCCAATCATTGAGTAGGCTAGCTCAGTAGCTTTTCCCACTGCGAAAACCTCCACCTGGACCATACTGCAGGGATCCGGCAGCTTAATCGGCTGACAAATATTAAGTATACTTCCGCGCCTACTTCATCTTTCATTTTTGAACCATCTGTGAAGAAGTTAAATGTCTTCCGGATAGGTTTTATGCCTCTACGCCATCCGATAGTAAAGGCTGATTTTCACCATGTCAAATTCAGTGGCATTTGCCGTGAAATAAGTGAAAAGACATTGTCAAATGGGACTAAAAAGCTGTTTGTCGACTGATTTGGATCAGGATAGGTCTTTAGTCGTGTACATGCGCTGCTAAATCAGTTTTTGGCCCATAATATCATCGGTAAAGGTATGGATAAGGAAGATAAAGTTGTGTCAAAATATGTTGCCAAATTTTGGCGTCAAAATATGACATAGTGAAAACTAGTCTTTACCTGAAACCCCGTATACTAGTTATATCAAGGTGCCATGTAGTCTGCCCTTTGACTATTGAGCATCGGCCTGTGTTTCTTTGCTTGAACTCCCCTGCTGCAATCACACGCCCGCGTACTTAGCCGTAAGGCTTTTTGCCGCAAGATCGATAGGTGGTACATACATTGAGGATATTTTCTAGTGCAGCCGTTGGAATTGTTTTCAGTGCTTCTGCTGTACACAATAATGAGAGATGTTAAACACAATCCATTGGTTTCAGATAAATTTCATAGCCTCTAGACTCAGGATCACCATGTAAGTGACCTTCTGAATGATGTCCTGAAAAATTCCACCTATCAAATGGACTTAAATGGATTAAGAAATTTACTTTGAGATACCAAGAAGCATTCGAATACAGATGCAATACAAAACAAGGAAAAGGAAATGAAGTTACTAGCAGCCGTAGAAATATCTTGCGTCCGTTGAATATTTTTCGGCAAGCCATGAATGCAAAAGAAGATTAATGAAAAATAACTGCTGTTTAGATAAGTAATATTGAAGAGTTAATTTTTATAAATGAAGATTATTCACCGTTTGCTACACAGCAGAAGGAAGAAAGTTAGAGCTCCAAATACCCGCTGACGTAAATACAACAAACCTACGTGCACACATGGACATGTCAACTGACTTTATGCAAAAAGTTTCCATGAAGGTTTCACGTGTTTCGATGATTACTTGCGATTTCTTGTGCGACCTCGACCGCCGCGCCCAGCACTGCGCCCAGCACTGCGCCCATCAAAGTTGCCATGTGCATGGAAACAAACACTGCCACGACGTGAGTGTGTGTGTGCGTGCATATTATCGTTTGTAAATTGTGAATTTTAATTAAAAGTAAATTCACTCAGCACTCAAAATAGCAATGCAAATTTGTGTTGTAAATTTACTTGGCGAATGTGTTGAAAATATATTTTACAAAATTTACATACAAGCACTCAGACGACTGTCGACTCAAACGCTGGCACGCTGGCACGTTGCTTAACTGCGTAAGCAAACGTATCCGAAGGGTTGCTTCTTAACCTCATCGCCGCCTCTCCCCACTCGGGTTCGCATGCACGCCGAGCCGAGTGCTCTAACGTCTTTTACGTTTTCAAAACTTTCAAGGTATTATGCTTAATGACGCAGCGTCTGTCTGCACTCTACTCTAGAAAAGTATCTCTGCCAAGCAAACACCACTCTGCCTAACAAGGAGGGTGACAATCTGCCACTTCCCTTGGTTTCGCTCTTGTTCTTGCCAAATCTTAGAAATCGTATCTTTTGTCTGGCCGTTTCCTCGGCATCGCTCTGCCACCGCTGTCGGCTTGCCCAAGCTTCGCAGAACAATGGCTCAGATTGAGGTTGCTGATACCTCTTTGTCTCGGCTGCTAGTTTAGGGGTTTCTGTTTTGTAAACGTCTCAGCATTGTCGTCGCTAGCGCATATGCCCGCGCCCGAAAACATGACACACTCTGAATGCGTATCTACTGCGTTATCTGGCAGCCGCATTGTTCAGCGTGTGATGTCGTGGTCAAAATAATAGTTTTGTTGTAATTGTTCGTATTTGAAAATTTGAAAATTAGATATTTAAATAAGGTATTAGGTTACCAGCTGTGCCGCAGGCAGTTGTCTGTCTACCTTTTACTATATTTCACCTAGTTCTAGCTCCCCGCCTTTACGCTCAAATTAATGATTTTTATCTTTCTCTCTTCTTCTCTCTTTTCAGCTGTTCAGCGCGGTCGTGTGCCACCCACTCAACCTGGTTTGGCCGGCATGCACGGTCAGTACCAGCTCGCGAATGGCGACCCCATGGCCGTCGCCGGCTTCAACGGTCACTCCTATCTCAGTTCCTACATTTCGCTGCTCCTGCGTGCCGAACCCTACCCAACGTCCCGCTACGGTCAGTGCATGCAGCCGAACAACATAATGGGTATCGACAACATCTGCGAATTGGCCGCCCGCTTGCTATTTTCTGCCGTCGAGTGGGCCAAAAATATACCGTTCTTCCCCGAACTGCAAGTGACGGATCAAGTGGCGCTGCTGCGTCTAGTCTGGTCGGAGTTATTCGTCTTGAATGCGAGCCAATGTTCGATGCCGCTGCATGTTGCGCCACTGCTGGCTGCCGCTGGCCTGCACGCCTCGCCGATGGCGGCGGATCGCGTGGTTGCGTTCATGGACCACATACGTATCTTCCAGGAGCAGGTGGAAAAACTGAAGGCGCTGCACGTCGACTCAGCGGAATATTCCTGTCTCAAGGCGATCGTGCTCTTCACCACCGGTAAGTTGCTGGACATCCTCTATAAGGATGTGCCGGCGCTGCTAACCAAAGTTTCAGCTCAAGTGTGTGCGTTGGCCTCCTCGGCCAGCACTCACACCAGCGCGAATTCGGATAGTTCGACGATGACGACAGGGACGACCGCCGGCTCGGTGGCGAATATTGGCAGCTCAGAGCTACTGCACGAGCAAGTGCTGTTGGTGGTGCGCGACCATCTCGACGATCTAAATCGTGTCGAATCAGAGTCGCAGCAACACGCTTCGGCGGCCGCTTTCCACCTGGCCGCCTTCATGAAGAGTGTTGCTGGTGTGGAAGCGGCCACCCAAAATGCCTTCCTCGCCTCCGAGCATGCGGCGCATACGCCCTCGGCAGCAACGACGACCCCATCTTCAGATCAAAACTCCGGAAACACGGGAGCCACCGAACACTGTCAAGTCAGTGATGATCACAAGCCAACATCTCAGCAACTGGCCACCAGTTCAGCGAACGGTCTAGTGCACTCGGCGACCAGTGCTTTCAGCTCATGTGCGCCCAGTCACAAGACCGCCGCACACCTGACCAGCACTGACGATTTGTTGGCTGCGCTATATGCCAGCGCCAGCGCGGCGCCAACCACCTCCACTACAACCACGTCTACTTCGAATTCAAGTCACAATAATAGTAGTGGTCTGGGCGCTTCCATAAATACTCAATCGCAAATCGGTTCGTCTCTGTTTAACAGCCTAACCGCTTCGCCATTGAGTAATAGCGCAAACCAAACCACTGCCACCGCCGCTGCTGCCTCTTCAGGTACCGCAGGTAGTAATCATGGCGGAACATATCAATCGCCGCATCTTACCTCCGCGCAACAACAATACAATTCACATTCGCAGTCGCAGGCGGCGCAAGATCAGCAACAGGCCGCGGCAGCAGCCGCCGCCACAGCAGCCATGTTCTATCAGACACCGCCGCGCTCTGCCTTCGGTTCGGCCTTTGATATGTTCCACCATAGCACACCGTTCGGTGTGAGTAGTGGCGCTTCGTTCGGTAGTCCCAGCTATAGATACTCGCCTTACAGCTTCGGCAGTAGGTGGCAATTGTAGTTCGAAGTAAGCACCGAGTAGAGGTGCAAACCTAGCGACTTGTTGTTGAGAGTTGGTAGAGCCAGCCGCCTTAGCCATAGGTCCACATAGATAGTGTTTAGTCTAGTCTAGTACTTCTAAGCTGTGCTCGTAGGTTTTAATACGCAGCCGCGCTTTTGTAATAAAAAACCACAAACAAAAACCTGTAATTAAATACTTAGTTTAGGAATCGAACGTTGTATTGTGTAATTGATTAGTTCAATAGCTTTTTAGACGTTGCAATCAACTAATTTAAATGGACGCAATTGAATTGATACGTATGTATGTATGTATGTACATATGTACTACTGATATGTACATATGTATGTAAAACTAGTATGTATGTACAAGTTTGTTTGTTCAAGTGTGCATTATCTATATTTACTTAAATATAACGATATGGAATAGCTACTCTTAGTGTGCCTAAAAACTCGACAAATTAGCGTATCGACTTAGTTATAGAACCCATAAGTGCTAACTAAATTATTTATTTATTCTTTTAAGTGTAAGTGTAATTTATTCTAAATACTTAGTAGTTGGGTACAAAGTTGAACATTGAAATAAGAAGGAGGAAGAAAATATAAAGGAAAATTGAAAAAATATACGCATTGTTGCTTGAAAAATTAAATCATTTGAATTTTGTATTTTGCATTTGCTAAATCAGAATGATCTTCTTCAAAAAAAAAAAACACTTTAAATTTTTTTAAAGCTTGCGCTTTTTTAATTATTAATTTTAATGAAGAATTTGGGGGCATCTCGAATAATTTCTTGTGCCATAACCGTTCTTAACTTTGTTAAAGCAATAAAACTCTTTTGGTGCTTATCATGTCTGCGAAAGCTATGCAGGCGCTAGACGGAGCCCCTTCTCAGCCGGAAAGTTGTAACATGGTTTTTTTCAGAAGCGCTTACAGCTTTTATACTTACATTCTACATAATTACATAATTGCGTTTGGATTTCAAAGTAGAAATGTAGAAATTATTGCAGTAATAACAACACTAACACCCATTGAGAACATTAGCTCAGTACTTCCCAAGTAGTCTATTAACAGATTTGCTTAGTTTTCATTATTATCGGTAAGAACATAACAATTATTCATTTGCTAAAAGCTTTTTTCGTATTTAATCTACTAATGTACATTTGTACAGAGGTATTTATGTATGTGCGAATGTAGTTGTCGTTTTTCGCTTCGGTTAGTTTCATCAACTCAACAATTTTAATTTTTTTACTAATATATTTTCTTTTTTTCATGACCACGAAATTCATTTAATATGACCCCAACACCCATGCACCCACACACAAACATATGCACTCTCACACTCACAACTAACAGCAGGATTCTATTGGTCTCAGATAGCACTGAACTACAAACTAACCGCATCATTTCAAAGGCCCGGTGATGGCAGAGAAGCAGCTATTGGACCGACAGTGGACAGGCACATTTCATTTTATATTTTCTTATTTCTATAACCCTTTAAAGGAAATTATTCTTTATTTTAAGAGAAATTTCATTTTAAAAAATTATGATTTTTTAATAAAAATGTGCACTTATATTTTTATGGAAATATTTTACATTTTAATTTTATTACTTTAAGTTACGATTAAGTGTAAAATATTATTTTATAACCTTAATTTTTATTACGATATATTCTATGAGAAATTATAGCCGTTGATATATACACACACATATATGTATGAGCCATTCTTTTTTAAGTCGGACGGATTTCGTAAAAAAAAATTATATCATGTCTTTGATTCGCTTCAATTTTTTTTTATGAGTTCATATATGTATTAAATTATCTAACCCGTATTCGAGGAAATTTTTTAAAGTTTTTTTCTTCGGAGGTAGATCTGCCGAAGTCCGCAATAAAATTTACGTTTTGTTAACTTTAGTCCCACAATCGCCACGCCCATTTCTAGGGGTTTGTCGCCTTAAAGAAAAATCTTGCCATATAAATAATATTTCTGGATAAGTATTGAAATTTTAATTTTTGCAAAACCCCGATTTTTAACACTTTGCCAAAAATATCCCATCATAATGCTGAATTTCCACTAGGCATTAAAATGACAAAAAATTTATGCCATGTGGAAATGAACTTAATTACTATTTTTTAATGTAATGACACGATTATTTTTTAATGCCCCACTTTGTCATTTGTAATTTTTGCCATTTAATGCCAAGTGGAAATTCAACATAAGTTTTCGAAAACAAATTACAAAAAATTGTTGACTCTCACAAAATAAACCATGTCGACATAAAAAAATATTCAAAAAATAGTTCTTGAAAAACGCCCATTTTATTGAACCATGTTTTTTATAGAGAACTAAACAAGGATTACGTTGGTGTAATTTTAAATCCCTAATTTACTGGTCTTCACTATGTAAATTAACTTCAAAAAGTTCAACTGTTAAGCCGTTTTCTTTAGCTTTAAAACTGCGTTAAGATGAAGGCTCTACGATGATCAGAACCCTAGTTTTGAACGAGTTGAAGAAGTGCATGATTAGTCAGAATCACGAAAAATTCAAACTTTGACAGATCATATCTCTGAAGAAAAAAAATTAAAAAAAAAATTCCTCGAATACGGGCTAGCTTATTTCACGTATAAATACGTTGACCAACCGTCCTGTATTATATGGGACAGTCCTATTTTTTGACCCATTGTCCTGGTAATTTATTTATTTTATACGGGACGCCAAATGTTCTGTACTATTTTTAATGTCCTGTATTTGTCTCGTATTCGATGTTTCACCGTCTTAAAAGCTCATTAAAATGGCATGCCTATGAACGAGTTTTAAGTGTATGTATTTTTATTTATCAACGGCTATAATTTCTTATGTATATGTTCAAGTATATGTATTAGGATATTTTAAATTGAATTTTTACAAAATGATGTAGGATAGCATGGGTTGTGAAAGCTCGACATAAAAACCGTGACCTTATGAATCTCATTATAGAAACGCTTTTTTTTTATTTAAATTACGGATACCGACGCTTTGAAATATGTATTAGAAAATATAGCAACATTGTATATCTTTGTCCAGGTTTCTCTGTACTGCTTTGTAGAAAGATTAGATTTAAATTGCCCCAAGACAATTCTTGATTCTTGTTACTATCCTTAATAAAAGGCTAAATGGAAAGTTTACACTATTTAACATTGGTCACACACACACATTCTATGCAGAGGGTATCTGCAATTTTCAAAAAAACTACTTTGTGATGTTAGAACCCATCTGGGGCTTACCTGTCATCACTGATGTTAATTCTGACTTTGCGATTTAATGGCAAATTATTCTGTCAAGCGTCATACAAGGTCAGCATTAATATCACCGATCAGAGTTAAGTCTTAGGTGGATTTTTATATCGGAATCTAATTTTTGCGAAAGGTGCAGAACGTGGGTAAATCAGTAAGCCCTCGATATGTACATATGTATGTATTTTCCTCTGAGCAAATGATAGAAAAATATTTACTGGACATTTTTTGAAAAACAAGTTTCTCATAATTTTTTGGATATTCTGCCAAATGCCATATTTTGAGTTAATGCACCTTTGAAGAATGGGTGTGATATAGTCGTCTTGACTTTTACGTCTTACATCTATTAAATTTCGCTCGTTTGCTGGAAGAACATCATAATTCAAAAACAATATTTCAGTTAAGTGTGCGCATATGGCTGACATAAGTTCTTTTATGTTGCGTAACAAAATTTAAATTAAACAATTTACCTTACTACATATAGATTTGTATGTATTTAGTATAACCAGAATACAACCCATCTTTGATAAAAGTGGGAAACCAATGAAAACTTTAACCAGATTTTTTTCCTTTGTATTTATTATTAATTTTTTTTAACTATTATTGACATTTGGTGAGAAGGTAAAAAATCTGGCTAGAAACGTATAGCCGTTTTTCTCGTATTTTTATTTTTTTAGTTATGATGTTCTTCCAGCAAACGATCAATATGTATCACTCCCTGTTAAACGCATAGATCAGCGGTAACTTCTCAGCCACCCTGCGACGATGCCACAAGCCGTGTGTTTGTCTATTGACAGTCGCTGGATGTGACAAAGTCCTGTCCATCGTCGAAACTCGTCTGACTCTGACCGCTGGACTGTTGGTCGGCGACGTTTATTGACGTCAAGATACCACTTTATGAACATTAATACAACACTCGTTTACGCCGCTTATTTACAAGCGCAAAAGCTGCTTACGCTCACCGTCAGCAGCAAACGATAGGAGCCAGTAACAAAAACACTGGTAACGGCAACGGCACCAGCAATGAGACAGATCAGAAAAAAAGCATCGCGAAAGCCAACCGTGCTTCGTCTCGCATCAGCATGGCCCAGCTAAATTGCAGCCAAGGTGTGTAGATTCAGAAAAGCGAGAAAAAGTGCAGCCAAACTGTGTGTGTGTAAGTAAGTGTGTAGGAAAGTATCAAAAACAGTGAAAAAATTGTTAGGAGCAATGAAAATGCTTTCGCAATTGTGTAAGCAACGTTGCACGTTGTAGATACGACCAAATATATGCATGCCAAAGCTGAGCCTGCAGAGAGTGCAGGGCTGGCAAAGGTGGGAACGAAGGAGCAGCCGTAGCTGTGAAACTGCTATTGTATTTGAATTGCTGCGATGAGTCCATAAACTTCAGGCGATCAGTCAGTCATGCACACACTCCGCCACTCCGCCACTCCGCCACTCGCACTCACATTCGCTCGCTCCTGCTCTCGCTCGCGCCCTCGCCATTCGCACACTATCGTTAAGTGGCTGTCGGTCACGTCGTTGCACGTCCAAAGCTGCGTCCGTCCAAACAACTGATCGAGTATTTGCAAGCGAGTGCCTGCGATTTCTGTGTCATGCGCAGATTCCACGCTACGACGCTGCCACGCTATAGCCACAATGCCACTCTGCCACTTGGGCACTTTTCGATTGTGGGAGACACGATCAACCGCGACAGTTGGTTAGTTGGATCGTTGGGAATGTGCATCGCAGGCATTGCAGTTGCAAGTAACCGTAACTATGTTGCTGCTGCCGTTGCTGACATGTCGCGCTGAGTCAAGCGCGCACAACCAAGTATCTACTCTGCGTCCGTCTGGCATCATCAGGTCTCCCTCGTTGGTAGTCATCTGCGATACCTTTTTTATTGCTATCAGCAATCATTTGA